CCACTTGTTATTGATTTTTAGTTTTGTTTCATTGTGGTCAGAGAAGATAGATACATGATGTAATTTTCCTTTTTTTGAATTTTTCAAGACTTGCTTTGTGGCGTAACATACGGTCTGTCCTTGAGAATGATCCTCATGCTAAGGAGAGTGTATACTCTGTGGCTGTTGGATGAGATGTTCTGTAAATATTTATGAGGTCCCATTTAGTCTATAGTGCAGATTAAATCTGATGTTTTCTTTGTTGATTTTCTGTCTGGATGATCTGTCCAGTGCTGAAAGTGAGGAGTTGAAGTCTCCAGGATTGGGGTCTCTCCCTGTCTTTAGCTCTAACAATGTCTGCTGTATATATCTGGTTGCTCCAGTGTTGGGTGCATCTGTATTTACAATTGTTATATTCTCTTGCTGAATTGACCCCTTTATCATTACATTATGAGCTTTTCTGTGCCTTTTTATAGTTTTTGTCTTGAAATCTGTTTTGTCTGATACAAGTATAACTACTACTGCTCTTTTTTTGTTTTTTTTTTTAATTGGCATGGAATATCTGTTTTCATCCTCTTGTGTTCTCTATGTATATCTATGTGTACCTTTGTATGTGAAGTGTGTTTCTTGTAGTCAGCAGATCATTGGGTTCTGGTTTTTTGTTTGTTTGTTTGTTTTTTCGTCCATTCAGCACTCCATGTCTTTGGATTGGGCAGTTTAGTTCATCTGCATTCATTGTTATTTTTAATAAGTAGGGACTTACTCCTGCCATTTTGTTATTTTATTTTATTTTATTTTTGTGATTGTTTTGTGGTCTTCTCTTCCTTCTTTCCTTCCTTCCTGCTTCCTTTTAATGAAGATGATTTTCTCTGGTGATAGGTTTTAATTTCTTGCTTTTTATTTTTTGGGTATCTGTCTGTTGTATGTCTTTTGATTTGAGGTTACCATGAGGCTTGCAAATAATATCCTCTAACCCATTATTTTAAACTGATGATGACTTAACAGTGATTGCATTAACAAACTAACAAACAAGCAAAGAAAAAACTAATACAAACTCTACACTTTAACTTAGTCCCCTGCATTTTAACTTTTTGTTGCTTCTATTTATAATCTTACTGCGTCTTGGAAAGTGTTGTAGTTGTTATTTTTGATCAGTTCTTTTAATCCGTCTACCCAAGATATGAATAATTTATACACTGCAATTACAGTGTTACAATACTGTTTTTCAGTGTACTTATCATTACCCTATGGCCACCACCCCTGAAACTGCTGAGTCAGACCTAAGGCTTCAGCCTTAGAACCTTCTTGTGCTTGAATATTGATATCTTTTTCTAGGTTTGGGAAGTTCTGTATTATTACCCTTTGAGTAAACTTTCTACCCCTCTCTCTCCTTCTGCCTGCTCTTTAAGGGTAATAACTCTTAGATACTCTCTTTTGAGGCTATTTTCTAGATCTTATATGCATGTTCCATTCTTTTAAATTCTCTTTTGTCTCCTCCAACTGTATTTTCAAATAACCTGTCTTCAAGCTTACTAATACTATCTTTTGCTTGAACATTTCTGCTGGTAAGAGACCCTGATGCATTCTTCAGTATGTCGGTTGCATTTTTCAACTCCAGAATTTCTGCCCAATTCTTTGTACTTATTTCAATCTTTTGTTAAATTTATCTGATGGGATTCTGAATTCCTTCTTTGTTTTATCTTGAATTTCTTTGATTTTCCTCAAAACAGCTATTTTAAATTCTCTGTCTGAAAGGTCTTATATCTTTGTCTCTCCAGGATTGGTCTGTGGGGCATTATTTAGTTTCTTTGGTGAGGTTATGTTTTCCTGAATGGTCGTGATGCTTGTGGATGTTTGTCGGTGTCTGGGCATTGAAGAGTTAGGTATTTATTGCAGTCATTGCATTCTGGGCTTGTTTGTACCTGTCCTTATTGGGAAGACTTTCCAGGTATTCGAAGGGACTTAGGTGTTGTGATCCAAGTTTTTGGTCACTGTAGCCATATCTGTATTACGAGGCACCCCAAGCCCAGTAATACTGTGGCTCTTGCAGACTCTTAGAGTTACTATGTTGGTGGTCTTGAGTAAGATCTGGAAGGATTATCTGTATTATAATGCAGAGACTCTTGTTCTCTTCCCTTTCTCCCAAACAAATGGAGTCTCTCTGGGTTGAGCTGCCAGGGAGAGGTGGGGGAGGGATTACACAATCACCCTTGTAGCCACCACCCCTGGCACTGTGCTGGGTCAGACCTGAAGCCAGCACAGCACTGGGTCTCACCCAAGACCTATGGTAACTACTGCTTGGCTACTGCCTAGGTTCACTCAAGGCCCTAGGCTCTATAATCAGCAGTTAGTGAAGCCAGCCAGGCTTGTATCCCTCCCTTCAGGGTGGTGAGCTCCCCCTTGTCCCAGGTGGATCCATAGATGCCATCTGGGAGCCAGGGCCTACAGTTGGAAACCTTAGGAATCTACCTGGTGCTCTGTTCTACTGCAGCTTAGTTGGTACCTAAGCCACAAGTCAAAGCCCTTCCCATTCTTCCCTCCTTATTCCACAAGCAGAAGAGTCCCTCCCCATGGCCACCACTGCTCCAGGCCTGCAGCAGATGCCCCCTGGTGACTGCCGATGTTCATTCAAGGCCTCAGGGCTCTTCAGTCAGCTTGTGGTAAATGCTGCCAGGCTTGGGACTCTCCCTTCAGGGCATTGGGCTCCCCTCTGACCCAGAGCAGGTCCAGAAATGCCGTCCAAGAACCAGAACCTGGAATTGGGGACCCCAAGAGTCTGCTTGGTGCTGTACCCCACTGTGGCCAAGCTGATACATATCACTAAGCTGATTTTTGGTTCTTATGAAGGTGCTTTTCTGTGCAAATGGTTGTTCAATTTGGTGTTCCTGCAGGGAGGACAATTGGTGGAGGCTTCTATTTGGCCACCTTTCTCTGCCTCCCCGTATTTTATTTTTAATTGACACATAATAATTGTACGTACTTATGGGATGTTCTGGTACGTGTATACAATGTGTACTGATCAAATTAGGGTAATTAGTATATCCATCTCCTCAAACATTTGTCGTTTCTCTGTGGTGAGAACATTCAAAATCGTCTCTTGTAGCTACTTTGAAATATGCAGTATGTTATTGTTAACTATAGTCAGCCTGCTGCATGGTGGGACCATTTTCACTCTTCAGTGCCGCTTTTGGATAAGCAGAAGGTCTTCATTTCTTGTATTTGATGTAGTCCAGTGTATCTAGTTTTTTCTTTATTGTTAGTGTGGTGTTTAGTGTGGCCTATCGAAAAAGTCTTTGACTAGATTATGAAGATTTTATCTCCTATTAGCTTTTAGAAATGTTATTGTTTTAATCAACTTAGATTATGATACCTGGTATTTGGGCCCTTATTCCTCCCACTGTGTTTTTATATTTTCTGTATATAAAGCTTTTTTGTTTTCATGTATTGCACATGTAAGTTCTATTTATTTCTGACATTTCTTTTCAGACAGAGTAAAGGAGGAAAATAAACTATACTTAATTTGTCTCTTTCATGTGGTTGTTAGGAATCTGGCGTGGATTCAACCCATATAGTTTTATTATCTTGTCTCCTTAGTAAACTGCTTCTACCTGAAAAATTCAAAGATTAATTTGAATTACTGTCTTTGTACAAATTTTTTAAAATGATTTTTAAAACAGATTTTCTCCTAGAACTCCTGGGCTCAAGTGATCCTCCCACCTCAGTCTCCCAAGTAACTGGGAGTACAGGCTTGTGTCACCACACTCAGCTGATTTTTGTGTTTGAGACAGGGTTTCACCATGTTGCCTAAGCTGATCTCAAACTCCTGAGGCTCGGCCAATCTGCCTGCCTCAGCCTCCCAAAGTGCTGGGATTACAGGCGTGAACCACTACACCTGACCCATTTTAAAGATAATTATATCATTTATTTTTTAAATTATAATTTCTAAATAGCACTTCAACATTTAAACATCTTGGCACATTTGCTTTATCTGTGTCCATACAAACACACACATACTCTGTATTTTTTGGTCAATGATTTGAAAGAAAACAGGTGTTTCTTTCTCCTACCTGAACATACTCCAACATGAAAATATCTTGAGTGTGTAAATAAAATTATTTCATTGTTCTCTAGATCTAGAACTAATCTAGCCAGATACGCATTATCAGGTGCCAAAGACTTAATATTTATTTGTTTATTAAAGAACTACTTTAGAAACCCTGAAATATGGGAGGTAACTAGAGTACATTTGAGAGTGGGGCAAGTACAGTAAGTCAGACTGTACTTTGAGTAGTACAGAATTTTTACTGGCCCTTCAGGTTCTTCATCTATTTTCCTTGTCAAATCCTAGGCCACTTTGAATCACAAAATATGAAAATATAATTTTTATTTTAAGCTAGACAATATAAGTATATTAAGTTAGATTCTACATGTTTTAAATTTGTGTGTTTATTAAATACTTATGCCTTAAATACCTGTAAGGTTAAAGCATGTTTTAATGAGTAGACAATTACTAAATATATGAGTTACTACCATTGCAAGGCATGAACATCAGGTAAGTTAAAACTAAGCTTTGTTAGAGTACATGAATTCCTTAAAAACTTAGTTTTCTATGAAAATAGAGTTTGGCTCCATTAAGTTTAAAAATAATTTTATTAAACACTGCAGTGTCTGGCACATATGTACCATTTAATACTTGCCTTAATTGACTAAAAAAGGCTCTCACCTTTAATGTCGTTAGAAGGAGCACTCAATAAGGACTTGGATCTGATTTCTAGCTGAAGCTGAGGCTTCATCTCTTCGGCTACTTGTAAATAAGGAATGTGCACTAGATTATATCCAATTAGCATTAATATTTTTATTCTGTATCTTGTGTTTATTGTGAAAACACTTAATAAATTTTATCGGATCAGGAAACTTAATACATTTAAAAAAAACCACATTTTTTAAAAACTAAATTGTCACACTGAACAAGAAGACTTCTTTCAATGACTACAGACTTGAACTTTTTTCTCACTTGATAGCTCGAATTACATCTTTACAAGAGGAGGTGAAGCATCTCAAACATAATCTTGAAAAAGTGGAAGGAGAAAGAAAAGAGGCTCAAGACATGCTTAATCACTCAGAAAAGGTAATTGATTTAACATATACCAATTATTATAAAATAGTAATTACTGATTATCATAGACTGCTAGGTGGTTTTATAAAATAGCACTTATTCTTAATGTTTATATAGTTACATTTTTTTTTTTTTTTTTTTTTTTTTTTTGAGACAAAGTCTCGCTCTGTCGCCCAGGCTGGAGTGCAGTGTCCGGATCTCAACTCACTGCAAGCTCCGCCTCCCGGGTTTACGCCATTCTCCTGCCTCAGCCTCCTGAGTAGCTGGGACTACAGGCGCCCGGCACCTCGCCCGGCTAGTTTTTTGTATTTTTTGGTAGAGACGGGGTTTCACCGTGTTAGCCAGGATGGTCTCGATCTCCTGACCTCGTGATCCACCCGTCTCGGCCTCCCAAAGTGCTGGGATTACAGGCTTGAGCCACCGCACCCGGCCTATATAGTTACATTTCTAAAAGTGTTTATGTTTGATTGGTTGGTATGTGGGGATGTATGTGTGTCTTATTTAGGGTTTTGTTGTGTTATTTTTGTTTGTTTTTACCCTAGAGAGCATTAGATGTTTCATGTTAACAGATCATCACAGATTGCTTTGGTTTGGAAATACCTTTTTATGAAGTATATTTGCCTATTTTCTTTGTACATGAGTAAGATGAATGTGCTGTGAGGGCCTATGAAGAAGGAAAACAACAGATCAGTACATGGTAGATGATGAGTACCTGTTCTGTTTTGTTACGGTTAGCAAAATGGAAAAGAGCATAAAGTGATTGGCCTTTGCATTTAGAATTTTCTTAACAATAAAAATGTCGTTGGTTATTCTCTGTTATGTACCTTGCTAAGAGTTAGATAGATGATATAGAGATACAGCTGTCACTTTTTCAAAGCCTCTCTGTAATGTTGGAGGTTCATTAGAACCTCAGGCAAATTATCAGAAAAGCCACGACTTACTTATCTTGTCCTTTGGACATGTTTTGTCACAATTAGAATAGTTTTTGATGGCCAAGCTGGTGTAAATATGGACTTAAGATAAAAGAAGGAAGAGTAGAAAAGGGTACTCAAACAGAAATGGAATATATTTTGACTCATTTTTCCTTTCTATGTCAGTGACTTGCCACAGGATGCTTTGTGGTTTGTTTTGTTTTGTTTTTGTGAAAGCAAAGTAAATGTGGATATAGATGCAAATGTAGATAAACATCAGTTACTATATATTTTTTAAGTGGTACCAGGCCAGGCAAGGTGGCTCATGCCTGTAGACCCAACACTTTGGGAGGCTGACACAGGAGGATTGCTTGAGCCCAGGAGTTTGAGAATAGCCTGGGCAATGGAGCAAGACCCCATCTCTATTAAAAAAAAAATGCTTAAAAATTAGCCAGGTGTGATGGCACATGCCTGTAATACTAGCCACTCTGGAGGCTAAGGCTGGAGGATAGCTTGAGCCCAGGAGTTCAAGGCTGCAGTGAGCTAAGAAGGTGCCACAGCACTCCAGCCTGGGTGACAGAGTGAGACCTCATCTCTTTAAAAAAAAAAAGAAAAAAAAAGATGGTATCAAAAATTTTTAAATAAACTGAAAATTTGACTTATTCATTTCTGATCTTAGCAATGAACTGTCCTGAACATAACCACCAGCACAGCTTTGTTCTGCCCTCTGCCATGGTTAATGATTCAAATGGGAAGGGAGGGGGTAAAGAAAAGGTTATCTTTTGCTTTTAATTATATGTGTTTATTGTGATTTTTAAAATAAGGCATCTTATCTCTTCCAGAATATTAAATGTAAGATTTACTAACATGCATGCCTTCTGCACAGTTTATTACATGACTCCTACTCCCATTTTACAGGAAAAGAATAATTTAGAAATAGATTTAAACTACAAACTTAAATCATTACAACAACGGTTAGAACAAGAGGTAAATGAACACAAAGTAACCAAAGCTCGTTTAACTGACAAACATCAATCTATTGAAGAGGCAAAGTCTGTGGCAATGTGTGGTAAGTGTCAGTTTTATTATTTTTACAAAATTGGCTTCAAATAGTGACTACAGAAAATTTGGTTTTGATCAAAATTTTATACTGCATAACTTGTAGAAATTATAATATAAATTACAGGCCTGGCACAGTGGTTCACACCTGTAATCCCATCACTTTGGGAGGCTGAAGCCAGTGGATCACTTGAGGCCAGGAGTTTGAGACCAGCCTGGCCATCATGGTGAAACTCCGTCTCTACTAAAAATAAAAAAAATTAGCCAGGTGTGGTGTCACACGCCTGTAATCCCAGCTACTGGGGAGGCTGAGGTAGGAGAATCGCTTGAACCCAGGAAGCGGAGGTTGCAGTGAGCCGAGATGGCGTCACTGTTCTCCAGCCTGGGCAACAGAGTGAGACTATGTCTCAAAGTCTCAAAGAAAGAAAGAAATTATAAGTGATAATCAAGAAGAGGGTGCCTTCCTTTTGATACTTTCCTGTTTTTTTTTTTTGAGACAAAGTTTTGCTCTTGTCTCCCATGCTGGAGTGCAATGGTGCAGTCTTGGCTCAATGCAATCTCCGCCTCCAGGTTCAAGCAATTCTCCTAATTCTGCTGCCTCAGCCTCCTAAGTAGCTAGGATTACAGGCACTGGACACCATGCCCGGCTAATTTTTGTATTTTTAGTAGAGATGGGTTTCACCATGTTGGCCAGGCTGATCTCGAACTCCTGACCTCAGGTGATCCACATGCTTCGGCCTCCCAAAATGCTGGGATTGCAGGCATGAGGCACCATGCCTGGCAATGCTTTCCATTTTTTAAGATCACAATTTCACCTCCTTGTTCCCTCAGTTTACTACTCTGTTTCCTATAAAAGTTAGTGGAATCTGTCTTTTCTCTGTTTTTTAGTAGCCCTTTCCTTGATTTTCTTTATGATCCATTCTGGACCTCATTGTCTGTTAATTCATATGCTATCTTGCTTTATACCCTCAATTTTCTCATTTCTTTGTACTTCCACTGTGTTATGCCTCCAAACACAACCCTAGTTCAGTCCAGCCAGCCACTTTCTTCAAGCAGTTGAGTGTTAGTCCAATGCATTATCTGCAACCTGAGTTGTCAATTTTTTTTTAATTTTTAAAAATTATTTATTTTTGGTAGAGAAAGAGTCTCACTATGTTGTCCAGGCTGGTCTTGAGCACCTGGGCTCAATGGATCCTTCCGCCTTGGCCTCCCAATGTGCTGGGATTACAGGCATGAGCCACCATGCCCAGCTGTCAATTTCTTTAAACATATTGCTCATAAATTTCTTTTCCCAGACTGTTATTTATCTTCTCAAGTTTCCTGTGCCGTTTCTTTATCACTGCAATTTTAGGTGAACTCTATTCTCATTTCACAAATAAATAATGAAAGCTTAGGTGTGAACTCCTCAAAATTTAGTTGTCTTGTCAATCTATCCTACTTCTTTACCTGTCTTCATTATCTTCACTATTATCTTAAAGGAGGGTAATCTCCTCTTATCTCATCTTAACTTCTTATCTCTTTTTCTTTTCTATATCCTCGACCTTTTTACCTCCATTATCTTCTTTCTTACTGTAAACATGAACAAGTCTCCCATCTTAAAAACAAATAGACAAATCCATGCAGCAATCTGTGATCCTTACTAATTACTACTGTTTTATTTCAGATAAAATAATAAAATAGTCAAATTCAATGGTGTCAGATTCTTTATAGAAAAAAAATTTTTAATATCCAAACTTCTAATAAGTCTTTCTTCACCTTCTACTTATTCTTAACCTACTACAGTCTGGATGTGTTGGCATCTTAAATTATTTTTCCTCAAAAGAAAGCTCATAATCTTATCCATCAAACCTGCTCTTATTCTTTATTCTCACTAACCTAGTTAACGGCCATAGGGTCTTTATGAGATGAGCCAAGGCTTTGGAATCAGACAGATCAGTGTTGCCCTGTAACTATTTTAAGTTAGATGAAAAATGCATGTAAAGTGCCTGTGCATAGAAAGTTTTCAGTAGCTATTATCTTGGTTACTGAACATCACATCCTCATTTTGCCAAGAGTTGTACTATTCATCAATCATTCTCACTTAGGTTAGAACAATTTTCTTTTTTGGTCAAATCATATTTTGTTATCCTTAAAATCCTTTATGGCTTTTCATTGTTTGCAGGGTACCTTTCAAACTCCTTGGATATAACGAATCTTTAAGTTGACACCTGTCTGTCTTTGCAATCTTCCTGCTCTACACTTTGTTGTGTGTACCCTGTGCTTTAGCCATATTGAGCTACTTTTATTTCTTTCACTTAATTACTGACTGCCTACTACAGACAAGGCACAGCTGGGAATATCGCAGAGACTAAAACTGACAGGAAGCCCGGAGATTACATTCAGATGGTGAAGATAGACCAAAAAAAAAAAAAAGAATACATAAATGAAAATATGTACAGCTTGTAATTATTAATGGGAAGAAAATACACATTAATATCATTGTTTTGACTTGGCACTGCCCTAGATGGGGGTTCTGAGGAAAGGCTCTCTGAGCTCATAATATTTGAGGTAAGAACTGAAAGTCAAAATGAACCACCTGTTAAAGGAGCTGGAGAAAATACATTCCAGGCAGAAGTGATAGTAAGTTGAGTATTCTTATTCTAAGATTTGTATGAAGGTACTGGCACATTTTAAGCTTCTGGGATGTGTAATTTATGTTTTTAAAATATCATTTCTGCTGCTTTGTGGGGAATGCTTTCAAGAGTGAGAACAGTGATAAAAAGGGAGATCAGTTAGAAGGCTATAGGCTGTAAACACTGGTAGTAGTAGAGCGGCAAAGAAGTTGAGGTATAGAGGACAAGAGTTGGTGATGAATTGGATAGAAGGAGGCCAGGTGTGGGGACTCACACCTGTAATCCTAGCACTTTGGGAGGCCGAGGCAGGCAGATCATTTGAGGCCAGGAGTTCGAGACCAGCCTGGGCAACGTGGTGAAACCCCGCCTCTACTAAAAAATACAAAAATTAGCTGCGTGTAGTGATGCGCACCTGTAATCTCAGCTACTCAGGAGGCTGAGGCAGGAGAGTTGCTAGAACCCAGGTGGCGGAAGTTGCAGTGAGCTGAGATTGCACCAGTGTACTTTGTCCTGGGCGACACAGCGAGACACCGTCGCAAAAAAAAAAAAAAAACAAAAGACTGAGACTAACTGGGGTTGGAGTGGTTTGGGGATAGGCCAGAAGTAAAGGCATCTATTGTGGATATGTTAACTTTAATAAGATTATTCGATATCTAGGTGGAGATGTTAAATAGTCAATTGGTATCTAAGTCTGGCGCTCAGGAGAGAGATATCAAGAGTCAGAAGAACATAGTGGATGGATTTGTGTTTGATTAAACAGAAGGGTCTTAAGAGGTGACAATTTAGTGGTGCAGCTAAGTTGTAGGTTTGGGGGGAAAGATAAGTAATAGTTTATTTATATTTATTTAATAGTTTATATTTTGTCACCTAGAGGGTGGTCTTCGAGAGTGGGAAAGCAGACTTCAAATAAACTAGAATCCTGATGGGGCAACTTACTAGTTGCATGAACATGGAAAAGTTAACCTCTCAGAAGCTTAGTTATATTTCAAAAAAGGAGCCTCAGTGTAGACTAATATATTCCAGTAATAATTAAAAGAGGTATTATACTACTGTGGAATCTTATTCATCTGAATTGTATCAATTGGAGTTCCTACCATAGCCTTAAGCCTCCTGAACCTTTTCTGGAACAATGCAGGGTATAAATTAATAACCACAGCCTTATTTTTCTGCTTTTACTTGATGTACCTTCATTGTTCTTCTTTGTTGATTCACTTTCTTTCTAGCTATACTCTTCACCTTCTAGTCTGAAAGTGGTACTGATTAATCTCTCATCATTGGGCAAGAGCTGGGTTTAGAAGATTTTATTGCTGTATTATATTTTATAACTCCTTTTCTTTAGAGATTTCTACTATATAAACAGTTTACATAACATGAGAATTTCTATAATTAATAGCTCTATTCAAGTCCCAGGATAAAAACAATAGAGATGTTTGAAACCAAATTACAGCCCATATAAAGTGAAATGTATTAAAGTACTCTTTCTTTAAATGTTTGTAACTTTTTGCTTTCCCAGAGATGGAAAAAAAGCTGAAAGAAGAAAGAGAAGCTCGAGAGAAGGCTGAAAATCGGGTTGTTCAGATTGAGAAACAGTGTTCCATGCTAGACGTTGATCTGAAGCAATCTCAGCAGAAACTAGAACATTTGACTGGAAATAAAGAAAGGATGGAGGATGAAGTAAGAAAAATAGTACTGACTTTGTTCATCTATTAGAAGAGAAATGATTATATAAGTTATGACTGAAGAGTTATCTATAATTTAAACACCGTGAAGGAGATTTGAATGAAATGATTGACATGGGTCTATGTTCACTGCTATATGGTTACCCCAGCACCTAGAATTTTCCTCTTCAAATAGTTATTGAATATTCACTCTGTGTAATCTATGCCATTTTCCACTATGACAGTACAACTGTATTGAAATGTCATAGTTCCTTCCCTGAAAAAACTGACCATCTGCTTTAAAGAAAAAAAAAAAAGTCTTTATTATAATGCATCTTATATCCCCAAAGAAAGCATTGCTCTTAGATTTCAATAAAAGTGTTTAACTGTAGTCTTTCCTGGCTTAGATTGATAGCATGGGGTATACATTTTATAAAGCAGTTAATAAAAAGATAAAATGACAACATGTCCTGGTGGTTACTATATGTACTTTAGAAATTATTTCTAAGACCGAAAGTAGGAAAGCCTTCTCAGGAAGATGTAACATGTTACCTAGATTTTAAAGGTTGAGTAAGACTTCAAAAGGTAATAGTTTTAGAGTCAGAGTTTTATTTGCTAGAGGGAATATTATCAGTAAAGATATGGATAATAAAGTGAGTACCGGGTGGATAAGAAGATGGGTAAGTAAAGCATAAAAAGGAACTTGATAGAACTTTTAACTTTTTGAAGAAAAGAAGAAGACATGTTGAGTGGTCATGGGAGAAATTTGGAGGCCAAAGTATCGATACTCTTTAAAACTTGCATGGGTGGCCAGACACGTTGGCTTACACCTGTAATCCCAGCACTTTGGGAGGCTGAGGTGGGCAGATTGGCAGATTGCTTGAGCCCAGGAGTTTGAAACCAGCCTAGGCAACATGGTGAAACCCCATCTCAAATACCAAAATCAGCTATGTGTGGTGGCGTATGCCTATAGTTCCAGCTACTCAGGAGGCTGAGGTGGGAGGATTGCTTGCACCTCAGGAGATTGAGGCTGCAGTGAGCCGAGAGTGAGACCCTATCTCTAAAAAATAAAACTTGCATGGGAGCTATCGGTGAAAGCACTTCTAGAAAAATCAATTTAGTAGTGGTATATAGAATGGTTTAGAAAGAAGAGAAACTAGAGGTACCTATTAAAGTTAGCATGCAGGAGGAATGTACAAAATTTGAAAGATAATATTCAGTCATTTAAAAAACATAATTTTTGACTACCTACTATTTGGCTCTGTGCTAGGAGTTGGGGGTTACTGAAGTGAGTAAGATATAGGTATGGTCCTGACTTTGTTGGAAGTTACAGCCAGGAGGGAAAAACAGATATTAAAATAGTAACTACTGGCCAGGCGCAGTGGCTCACGCCTGTAATCCCAGCACTTTGGAAGGCCGAGGTGGGTGGATCATGAGGTCAGGAGATCGAGACCACCCTGGATAACATGGTGAAACCCCGTCTCCACTAAAAATATAAAAAATTAGCCGGGCGTGGTGGCAGGCACCTGTAGTCCCAGCTACTCGGGAGGCTGAGGCAGGAGAATGGCGTGAACCCGGGAGGCGGATCTTGCAGTGAGCCAAGATCACACCACTGCACTCCAGCCTGGGCTACATACAGAGTGAGACTCAGTCTCAAAAAAAAAAAAAAATACTAACTACAAGCATTGCAAATAATTAAAAAGAAAGTACCGAATGCTATAGGGGTGTATTACTAATCACATTTGGGAATTACAGAAGGCCTTGCTAAGAGTATGACATTTGAGAGCTGAAGAATGAATAAATGAAGGAGGATAAAACAGAAGGAGTAGTGTGTACAAGAACTGTGAGATGAGGGAGAATTTCTTGCATTTGAGGATCTGAAGAATATGATTGGATTGTAGAGAATGGCCAATGATAGGAATAGAGTTAGAACAGATCATGAAGGCCATTGTAAACCACTGTAGGAATTTTGAGTTCATTGGTCCGAACACCTAATAAACACTTCAAAAATATTTGAGTTGAATGAAACATATGTTCAGTTTGTTTTGTTAAGCTTTGAAGGGTTGTAGAGTAGAGCACATAAACAGGTAAATTTAAGTATTCCATTCAAATGTTCCCCCAGAAATGTTTTTTTTTTTTTTTTTGAGACGGAGTCTCACTGTCACTCAGGCTGGAGTGCAATGGCATGATCTTGGCTCACTGCAGCCTCTGCCTCCCAGGCTCAGATGATCCTCTCACGTAGCTGGGACTACAGGAGTGTACCACCATGCCTGGCCAATTTTGTATTTTTTTGTAGAGCGAGGGTTTCACCATGTTGACCAGGCTGGTCTCAAACTCTGGGTTCAAGCACTCCACCTGCCTCAGCCTCCCAAAGTGCTGGGATGACAGACGTGAACCACTGTGCGTGGCCCAGAAATGAGTTTTATAATCACCTTGTACTCCAACATTTTCATGATGATTGGGTCTGAAAGGAACCAGAATTTTTTTCCCTTCACAACATCTCATGTCTGAAATTTGAGAATTAATTTGACTTTATAGTAAATCTACAATAATAAACACATGGAACAATGAAGACTCTTTAAAATACTAATATTTTCTACTAGTACCATGAATTATAATGTACTTGATTTGGTTAGTATTCTTTCAAATAATGTCTAATAAATTATTTAAGAGATTTAAGATCCCAATTATTTTTCTCATTCATAGGTTAAGAATCTAACCCTGCTACTGGAGCAGGAATCAAATAAGCGGCTGTTGTTACAAAATGAACTGAAGACTCAAGCATTTGAGGCAGACAATTTAAAAGGTTTAGAAAAGCAGATGAAACAGGAAATAAATACTTTATTGGAAGCAAAGAGATTATTAGAATTTGAGTTAGCTCAGCTTACGAAGTAAGTCTTTAAAATAACATTGTGATTTCTTTCTTTTTTGTGCTCATCATTGACTTGTGTGTTTGATATTTTACATATGTACAGATTATGTACTTAGAGTTTGTGAAAGACTGCGAAAAAGTATTTAGAAGTAAAAGAATTTACTTGCAAAGGTTTTCAAGGGAGTTCAGGCTTTGGAAAGACCACAGTTTTCTCATCTGATTTTCATGTCCACAGAAGTCATTACATTTCTTCAGATTAGAATTACAAAAATCACAGTGCCTTGTAGGAGATGTTCAGAGGCTAGAATTAGACATGACACACTGTTTTGTTTTGTGTCTTTGGTTCATCTCAAAATGCAAAAATGTCTTTTTTGTTTTTCTGTTACTCTTGGGATGTGATATGCCTGCTTACTTGAAATGGAGAACAAGCAAGATATCAGGATTGCTTTCACAATTTGCCTAAGAATATGCATCACAAGTTTAATATCAAAAGTGGATATATCTTATGCCAAGTCCTGTGTTTTTATTTCCTCCGAATTTATTTTATTATATCATCACTTGCTAGCTTCATTTACAAAGGTGATTCTTGGATTAAGTTTTCAGTTTTCATAAAATTGGGTTTATATTGGTGAAATTCTTTTCCTCTTTTAGGGCCACCATTTTCACAAAAATGTGTTTTATATTTTTTTCCTCCAAAAATACTCTCACTCAGCATTCAGTAGAGATTGGTGTGGACTTTCTGTCAACCACATGCCTTTTTAGATACTGAGAATACAAAGCTATTACTGTCTACTATGAAAGTCTAGCAGCTAGATTTTCAAGCCTAGCTGCTAGACTTCCATAGTAGACAGTAAATAATTGTTGAAAATCTGTGTCTTCGGGTTACGTTGTGTTTCCATCTTTTGGACCCTGCTCCTTTGTGAGTTTTGTTTATGTATATATTATATACATGCAGTTGTCTGTCTATGTTCCTCCTTCTTTGTCAGTTTGTTGTTCTTGCTTTCCCTTCTTACCTGATGATTCATTTCCACAGCCCCTTTTTTGTGCTTAATTGGCCATAATGTCTAGTGTGTAATACTGAATTATTACTTATTAAATATAGTACTATGATATATAGCACTGAACTATTACTAAATTTTTCATGCCCCCCTTTTTTTTACTTACTGTACAAGACATTTTCTTCCCTATTACTGCTTTTCTCTGTAAAAATTTAGCAAAAATATGGTATCAATTTTATTTCTTCATTTTGGATAGATCCACAATTAATATTCTCCAGAAAGTGATCATCAGTAGAAAAGGGCTCTCACGACTTTTGTATAGCATCATTTTATAAGGAGCAAGATAGAACCAGTGTGGCCTGACCACGTTAATGAGTAAAATAATAATGAAGTATGTTTTTTAAAAATAAAGATTGTTTTAGTAAACCTTTTTTATATTAGCAACTTTAACAAACTAAGAATAAATAAAGTCTAGTATAAGTAGGAGCGTTTGTTCACTTGTTTTTCTTTTCATCTGAAGACAGTATAGAGGGAATGAAGGACAGATGCGGGAGCTGCAAGATCAGCTTGAAGCTGAACAATATTTCTCGGTAAGTGAGAATCATTTTTAACATATGCACTGTTTCAAAATCTGACTTACAACAAGGTATTAGATTCTTTTATGTGAACTTTTTCTTTTTAAAATTCTTTTTCAAATGACTCTTCATCTTATAATAAACATTGTGATTTTCTTCTTTTTGTTTGTCCATTTGTTTCTTGGCATATTAGGCTATCATTGGTGTATGTTTTTAAATCATAAAAACTTTTCAGGCCAGGCGCGGTGACTCACACCTGTCATCCCAGCACTTTGGGAGGCCGAGGCGGGTGGATCACTTGAGATCAGGAGTTCGAGACCAGACTGGCCAACATGGTGAAACCCTGTCTCTACTAAAAATACAAAAATTAGCTGGTTGTGGTGGCAGGCACCTGTAGTCCCAGCTACTCAGGAGGCTGAGGCAGAAGAATCACTTGAGCTTGGTAGTTGGACATTATAGTAAGCCAAGGTCATCTGTGCTCCAGCCTGGGCGACAGCAAGACTCTGTCTCATAAACAAAATGAAAAACTTTTAAATATTATTGAAAACTCTTGCCCTGGGTATTTGCTAAATGTGATTATTCAAAGTATCTACTGCTAACTTCTGCAAAGTGACCTGTAGCATCCCATACACTTTCTTGCCATATGCTTCCACAGAGCAATCATCCAGTGCCTCCAGATGTTTGGATGGATGTCAATGACTTGCGGTGGTTCCTGTGGATTCTTCATTTTGCTTCTAGAAAATAGTACAAAACCTGACCCTGTCTCAGTTCTGATTTATTGCATTGCTTGTGGGCATTGGATTAAACAGCATTCAATTCAATAAGCTGTTATGAACCAAATTTTAAGATTTGTTTTTATTCTGGGTTTTCAAATCAGATTATTTTTCTTTTTATCCCTTCATTGATTTACTTACTTGAATTTCATTATTTGAAGTCAGAGAGATAAGAATCTAAGTCCCAAAGGCCAAATAGATTACTTAATTTTAGGAATTCTAAATACTTAACCTAGAGTAAGCCCTTATTCTTCTTTCATTTGCATTCCCATAGACATTTATGTATTTTTTTGCCTAGAAAAGTGCTGTTTCTTAATGTAATAAGTAAGTGTTAAAGTAGTTCTCCACAGCTGTTTGCTGGCCCTTACTATTTTTTTCCCTTCTCTTTTTCTTTTAAAATGAAGAGGGTAGTTAAAAAGAAATAGATATCAGAACTGGAAGTTCACTCTGTAACTTCAGCAACTAACACAAAATGAGTCTCATGTGTTAAATATTTTTCGCTGGAGTTGGCAAAAGCTCAGTGAATTTTTTAAGAACCGTTGTTCTGAAATAAGCATATATTATAGATATGTTAGCAGAATACTTGATAAATCTTATTTGTGGATATTTCTTTTTTTTTTTTTTTTTT